AGAGGATAAAAACGATTGTTTCCGAATGAACGAATCGAAGATTAGACTCGGATAATCTCCTTCCGGTTGATCGAAAATCGTTTCGTCACGCGTTTCGATTATCGTTTCATGCGCGCAAGCGTACGCGTTCGTCAACGCGTCCAGCGTTGCTGATCCCATCAATTGATTAACGCGGCACCCTCGTCAGCTAGGTAATGTGTAGCTGGAGCTGGTGCTTTCCGGTGGTCGGTGAAGATAATAAAAAGCAAACAGATGAATCAACCGGCGCGGCATACAAGACCCATAGGCTGGCTGAGCTCGAGAGGGTAGCATCCCCTTCTTCTCGTAGCCTGTCAACGGGCACAACGGAGCTGCAAGGGTCCATGTGATTTGATTATGTTGGTAATACGCTCCGTATGCCACCCTAATTGCTGCGGCTTGCACCCTCGCAACGCGATTCACAAGCAAACCATCGCGTCGCATAGGAATTTGGGTGGCTACTACATACGGTAGTTCTTCAGGGTCGGATGTAACCCTTAAGGCTCCACACTACGGCAGTAATATTCTAATATTCCGATAAATGAGCTCCTTTGGTGCAGAACCATTGCTAAAATGAAACTATTAAATAATTTAATAAACTATGAACGCAATTAAAACTAACTTATGAATTATTAATTAAACATTGTGTTTAGTTAAACTGAATACAAGATACATACAACATATGTTGTAGAGATTTTTTTATTTGAATTAGCAACCACTGTCATTAATCAAATGAGCCAATGCGAATCTAGTTGACCGAATTTTAAGACACCCCGCAATGCTATTACAAATTCTTTAGGGTGCATATATTTACAAATGGAAGTCCTCCAAAAAATAAGGCTTAGATTTATAGCTCCCTTAGGAACCCTCCACTCAAGCTCGATTAGGGCTAACTGGTTAAGAATATATTTTAGCAATAAAAGCATTTTTTGTGTAGTGTTTTTTTTTTAATATCATTCATGTCCTTATTCATTATGTGATTAACTTGATTTATACGATATAATTGATCACGTCTGGTTTCAAGTTTCATACACGTACGTATGATACATCTTGATTTCATCCAACAATTTAGATTAAAATCTTCGGTCACATTTCCTGGATCCCTTCCAACTTCGAAACTCGTTTAGATTTCGTGACCGAGACTCTCAGTAATAAAACAGACAGCCACTGCTATAATTGTCTCACAATGAACATTTTATAACTCGTACTTGGTGTAACGAGGCCGACGTAGTCCGCAACTTGGGAAGGTCAAAAGTTATCGTCAAAGATTTCGATTTATCGATCCAAACCGAGCACCTTAAGGTTGCGCCTGGTCTAGTCAATAAATCATTGTCCCTTTTCGAAAACAACCGCATTTCGTCTGCAACCATCCGCAGTGTATAACTATACAACTGGTCTACTGAATTCACGTAATTGGGAATTCATTGAAGATACCAAATCAAATCCAGGAAACAAAATATACCTATGACTTTTATATTCATGAGACTTATGCATCCTTAATTTGTATTTAATTTTACGTAATTATTAGAGACAAGAATATAGCGAAATAAAAATATTAAAATTACTTTAGAAGTTTAAAGTTAAAGTCATCATCAGTCATGAATATTGTAACGACTTACTAACGTAGGCATTACGAATATTTTATTTTGCATAAAATCTAGTCATAGCATTATATATGTATATGTATCGTATGATCAGCGTTTGATATCATCGGTACAGGTCAGGTGTAATTATTAGTACAAGATCGATCGGCAACGTGCATAGATAAAAAGGAAAGGATGATGTCAGGATTATTACAGGCTTCGTGACGTCCGTCCGCGTTACAATTAGAAGATTCGCATGCGATGACGTAACAAGCAATTGCTGCGGGTATCGACGATATCATAATAGACACTCATCGGCTGTTAACACGTTTAGCCTTCGGCTGTACTGTAGAAAATTCAGCATTCTTATTTCTGTTCGCAGCTGGTCAATATATTCTACGATTCAATCATTCTGTCCGTTCCATTAAGCAATTTCTGTTCTATTCTGTTATATTAATTAACTATCATTGACATAATCGACTAGACGCAGTAAATCATTTTTTAACGATAAAGGATCTTAGATTTCGTGCATGTACAACAAACATTACACGAAGCGTGTACAGCGTTTCTAATTTCGCAATCTATAAACTAGATCCGCCTCCAAGGTCCATTCGTGACCTTAAATGGCTTCGTGTCAAAGGTCTTTGCCCCGTCTTTACACACCTGTTTTATCCATGGAGGCGAGCTATGCGGTTGTTTCTTTCCCCCGCATATACTCAATACCACACAATTGCTGTTTCCCAGTGGCGATAAGATTCTATTTTCACTGCCTGATGTTGTAGAACTGATTCTTAAAAAAAATGAATGACAAAGGGAATATTTATGTAGATTTCTTAAGTTGTTATCATAAATCTTTTATTTTGTACAAACGTTTATAGATCAGGAACAAGCTTGTAGTCTAATAACAGGCTGTGGTATCGCGCAGTAAAAGCGTGGCCTTTAAAGGTGTGCTCACAGTGTCCGATTACGAGTTCGTTCCCCGTTCGATACATCGTCGCGGCGCCGTTTTCTCTTCTTGGGTATTGATTCGGCCCGCGGAGTTATGCCGCACGTTGCCCGTTCGATACTGTCGTGCAACCGCGAGAATATGCGTCCCGATGTTAATCGCGACCGCAATCGATGTGTTAATTACGGTACAGACTGAAACGATGCTGCGGCTAACGCGTTAATGGAAGAACCAGACGCTAATTCATCCTACATGTTCCAATTTTGTTTATCGGCTCAAGTTAAATCGGATTTAATCGAAAGTGGATCGATTCATTTTTGCATATTAGAAATCAGTTACAGAACTCAGCGTTGGAAATGTTTAATATTTCCTTAAATCAATCGATTATCCCTTTTCAGGTAATAAAAATTGATTCAACTTATAT